TAACCTTTTAGCTGCGACAGCCGCGTTATCTTGATTATAATAAAAAATTTGAATAATTTGCGTTATATTCGAGTTTTCTTGCAATTTTAGCTATGATTCGCTCTTTTGTAGGTCGATTGACTTTGTTTAAGCCAATAAGCGTTTTGTCACCACCCCTGGGCCATAAATATTTCGGGAAAAACACTCCCCTACTATTTACAGTAAATCTTCGAAGTTAACTAGACAGTTGTTGAAAACAATCAAAGGGAAACTCCTTCTAAAGTTTTATTGGGTATCTTCTGTCTTTGTTGACATTACTGTAACTAATCACAGACTTGTGAAAGGAAAAATTGCCGCGAAAAGTCCCGCCTCCAACCTTCGAAGTAAAATGTAAACAATCACAATAAATTCGCTTTTTAAATCGTTTTTTAGCTCTAATTAACTAATTTAACGTTTTAAGACATTAAATTAGCTAATTCGACAATATTTAATCGTATTAATATGTTTTGAAAACTATCTAGCAAGAAATATTCCCGGGAAGCTCCACCTCTCTATAGTAAGTCTATGGAAGACGTTCTTGCTGTTAATTGGCTTGAAAACTGTTGTTTCTACGCTTATTACGTCTAATTGGTAATTTATATTATGACTGATTTAACTTTAACGAATGAAGAGTTTTTTTTAGAACCATCTAGTCTGGATTTTCCCACGAAGAACCAATCCACGTGATTGAAGTCATTATGTAAACAAACGTTAAAAAATAGCTATATTCATTATTTTATAGCGTAATTCTACTAGTTTTCATGTTATTTGACTCTACTTAGACAAGAAGATATTTTATCGAACGCTTCCAGCTGAAAAATTTTCCGGGAAACTCATTATCTCCGGATATTGCGTAATCGCAAGAAAAATTAACTAGTCATTTATTATAGGGTATTATTATATAAAGCGTTGAAAAAATATGTAAAAAGTGTCAAATATTCACTCTTATAAAAGTATATCTTATTACATAACGGGGAAAGTTTGACTTGACCGTTATGTATACATAAACAGTAATAAGTCTGTTTACAATGTACTCTGTCTCCCTTTCTGACTAACTGCGGGGTGAGGAAGTGGCTCGGGTATTTTTAGGTCATGACCTAAAAATACCCGAGCCACTTCCTCACCCCGCAGTTAGTCAGAAAGGGAGACAGAGTACATTGTAAACAGACTTATTACTGTTTATGTATACATAACGGTCAAGTCAAACTTTCCCCGTTATGTAATAAGATATACTTTTATAAGAGTGAATATTTGACACTTTTTACATATTTTTTCAACGCTTTATATAATAATACCCTATAATAAATGACTAGTTAATTTTTCTTGCGATTTCGCAATATCCGGAAGTAATGAGTTTCCCGGAAAATTTTTCAGCTGTAAGCTTTCGATAAAATATCTTCTTGTCTAAGTAGAGTCAAATAACATGAAAACTTGTAGAATTACGCTCTAAAATAATGAATATAGCTATTTTTTAACGTTTGTTTACATAATGACTTCAATCACGTGGATTGGTTCTTCGCGGGAAAATCCAGACTAGATGGTTCTGAAGAAACCTCTCATTCGTTGAACTTAAATCAGTCATAATATAAATTACCAATTAGAGTGTAATAGGCGTAGAAACAAAAATTTTAAAGCCAATTAACAGCAATAACATCTTCCATAGACTTACTATAGAGAGTTGGAGTTTCCCGGGAATATTTATTGCTAGACAGTTTTGAGAACATGCTTACTCGTATATACATTGTGAAACAATATTTAATTAACAATTTATAGCTCAAAACGCGAATAAAACAAGCGAATTTACAGCGATT